CTGCCATTTGTGACAACACGGATGGACCTTGAGGGCATTATGCTAAGTGAAATAAGTCAGAGAGAGAAAGACAAATACTGTATAATCTCAATTCTATGTGGAATCTAAAAAAAAAAGCCAAACTCAGAAACCGAGTAGAATGGTGGTTGCCAGGGACCTAGAGGTGGGGGAAATGGGGAGATGTTGGTTAAAGGGTACAAACTTCCAGGTATAAGATGAACAAGTTCTGGGGGTATATTGTACAACATGGTGACTCTAGTTAATAATATTGTATGATATACTTGAAAGTTGCTAAGAGAGCTCTTAAATGTTCTTACCACATACAAAATTTGTGATTATGTGAGCTGATGGATGTGTTAACTAACCTTATTATGATAATAATTTCACAGTATATAAATATATCAAATTCTCATGTTGCCCACCTTAAACTTATACAGTGTTATATGTCAATTATATCTCAATAAAGCTGGAAAAAATAAAATGAGTATGAGTTCTTCAATACACAGTATTGTGACACACACTAGCAACAAACACTGGAAACCAAAATCAAAAACACAATAACATTATGTTGTACACCTGAAAAGAATGTGACATTGTGTGTCAACTATATTTCAATCAATAAATTAAAAAAAATCATAATAACATTTACAATTACTCCAAAGAAAATAAGATATGTAGGTATGAACCGAACAAAACACATATAGGATCTATATGCTGGAAACTACAAAGCATGATGAATGAAATTAAAGAAGACCTAAGAAATGGAGAGACACTGTGTTCATGGATTGGAAAGATGGAACACATGAAAATTGTCAATTTTCTCCAAATTCATCTATAAATATAAAACAATTTTGATCCAGGGGCGCCTGGGTGGCTCAGTCGTTAAGCATCTGCCTTCGGCTCAGGTCATGGTCCCAGGGTCCTGGGATCAAGCCCCGCATCGGGCTCCCTGCTCCGCGGGGAGCCTGCTTCTCCCTCTCCCACTCCTGTTGCTTGTGTTCCCTCTCTCGCTATATCTCTCTCTGTCAAATAAATAAAATCTTTAAAAAAAAAATTTTGATCCAAATATGAGCACATTTTTTATAGACATAGATAAGCTTATTCTAAAATTATACAGGAAGGTACAGGACCCAGAAGAGCTAAAACAGTCTTCACAAGGAAGAAAAAAGTGGGAGGAACCACTCTACTTGATATTAAAGCCTCTATGTGACTACAGTAATTAAGGACATGTGTTGTTGGTGGAGCACAGACACATAGATCAATGGAGCAGAATAGAGAAACCAGAAATAGAGCCACACCAATATGCCGATCTGATATTTGACTAAGGTGTAAGAGCAATTCAATGGCAGGAAGATATTTTTTCAACAAATCATGCTGGAGCGATTGGTATCCACAGGCGAAAAAAGTGAACCTTGATCTAAGTCTCACACCTGTGTAAAAATGAACAAAAAATGGTTCATAGATTTAAATGTAAAACTTAAGGGGCACCTGGCTGGCTCAGGCAGAAGAGCATGTGCCTCTTGGATCTGGGGGTCGTGAGTTTGAGCCCCACATTGAGTGTAGAGAGTAAAGGAATAAACCTTTTTTTTTTAATGTAAAACTTAAAACTATAACACTTTTAGAAGAAAAGTATTTTTGTTTCTGGTATAGGGCTGGGCAAAGAGTTCTTAGATTTAACATCAAAACACTATTCATAGAAAGAAAAATTAATAAATTGAACCTCAGTAAAATTAAAACCTTCTGTTCTACGAAAGTCCATAGGAAGAGGATGAGAAAAGAAACTGCAGACTGGGAGAAAATATTTGCAGATCACGTATGCAACAAAGGACTAATATCTAGAATATATAAAGAACTCTCAAAATTCAACTGTGAGAAAACATTCCAAAGAAAAAATGTGCAAAATCCAATGAAGAGACAGTTCCCGGAAGAGGATACACAGATGTCAAATAAATACATGAAAAGATGGGAGATACCATTAGATATTAGGACAATGTAAAATACAACCACAATGAGCTATCTCAATACACCTATCTGAATGGCTAAAATAAAAAAATAATGGCAACAGTAAATGTTGACAAGAATGCAGAAAAACTGGATTTCTCATGCATTGCTGGTGGGAATATCAATAGTACGGCCACTTTGAAAAGCATTTGACAGTCCTTAACAAAACTAAACATGCACTCACCATACAACCCAAGAACGGCACTGTTGGGCCTTTATTCCTGGGAAATGAAAAGTTATGTTCATGCAAAATCTGGAGACCTATGTGCACAGCAGCTTGATTTGTAACTGCCCCAATCTGGAATGAACCCAGATGCCTCGCAGTCGATGAATGGTTGAACAGGCTATGGTATGTCTGTACCACGGAATATTAATTAGCCATAAAAAAGGAATGAATTATTAACATATGACACAACTTGGATGGGTCTCCAGAGAATTATGATGAATTAAAAAGAAGCCAGTCTCAGAAAGTTACATACCGCATGATTCCGTGTAATACTCCTAAATGACAAGATTACAGAGATGGAGAACAGCTTAGGGGTTGCCAGGGAGTAGGAAGACGGGGAGAGAAGCTAGGTGGGACTATAAAAGAGGAACACTGGGAATCTTTGTGGTGCTGGCATTGTTCAGTATTTTGACTGTGGCAGTGGCCACATGAACCAACACGTGATAAAATTTCATAGAACTATACACGCTGGCAAATGGGTGCATGTAAAAGTGGTAAAATTGGAAGAAGGTGGATGGATTGTATCGATATTATACTACAGCTATGAGTCATGTTACCATCAGGGGGTGAAGGGTATTTGGGAATCCCTCCAAATTATTTCTTACAATTGTAAATCTACAATTATCTCCAAATAAAAAAGTTTTAAGAAGGGAGTATGACATGATCTGTGCTCTAATCCCCATTTAATAGGGAAAAATAAGGCATGGAAATAATCCTCAGTTTAGTTTAAATAAGGCCTGGTAGGAAGTGGAGGTTTGGGCTCACCCAAATTAGAGATCCCAATTCAGAAATCAAGACCAACTAATACAAGAACCACCATCATTTACATGAATGAAGAACCTTTCAGAAAATCCCTGCAGCTCCCTTATTAGTTGCCAAGTGTAAAAGAGATCCTGAGCAAAAACTGCCCAGTTCAAAAGAACCATTTGATCACAGTAAATTGTTTTAAGCTTTTTTTTTTTAAATTGTTTTAAGCTTTTAAGCCACTAGGTTTTGGGATGGTTTATTATGCGGTAATCAGAATGTTAAATCAGGCAGGGGGCACGAGTGGTAGTAGCCAAATACATGAGTGGTAAATTTCAGTGAGTCTACTCATTTTCAATGCTAGGATCCATGTTTGTCCCAGGCTGTTGTTCCTGCAACCCATTTTCCTGAATACGTACTCTCTAGGCATGTTGGCAGTGATGATGGGGGCTGGGGAACGCAGATACAAAGGAAATTGAACAACCAGTCATTGCCTTGAAGAACTCACAGTCTTGTGAGACAAAACATCAGCACATTAAACGGCATGAGAACAGTTATAAGGCAACAAATCAGCAAGTTCAAACTAATATACTACAGCACAAATTGAATGCATGTGGCAATGTATGGCTACCCAAACAGCGGGATGGAGCTAGACATTTTGGACCCTGAAGGCAACACTTTAGAAGGGCCCCCTTTCCTTCCTTAACAGTGAAATAAACATCTCCAGCAATGCAGGGGCTAGTTGGATGATATTAACACTTCTGAAGAAAGAAAAAGGAGGTAATTTCCAGAGACAGTTATTCTTGTTTTACTTTTCCTTTGTTCTGTGTTCCTGATATGTGATTTAGGGGCAAGCTACAATCTCCCTGAGCATCCATTTCCTCATCTCTAGGCTGGAGGTAACAATCAGAGAGTAGTGGGTTGAAAGTCAGGAAACCTGACACAGAATCTCAAATCTGTCATTTACTAGCTGCATGACCTTGGATACATCACCTCCCTCCACCCCATCCATTTCCTCTTCTGTGACATGAAGATGTTGAGCTCCATGGTCCAGAAGATTCCTACCGACTGACTCTTAACACTTGAGGCCACAGAGAGTTCATAGTTGGTGGTGAGGGGTTAAAAAAGTAATGATGATGTATACGAAAGTAATCCATAAGCCATAAAGATATATAGATGTTAGAAATAACAGTATGATCCAGTTCCATGTTAAAAAAAGAAAAAAAGAAAAAAAAGCCCTGTAGCTCTCCTCCAAAGTTAGGGGCTTAAAATATAAATGGGTACTGTCTGTCAAGGCAGCACTTTGGGGCCCTTAGAGGATTCTGAGAATTCTTTGTAACTACTGCTCATCAAATAAACACAACTTTGCTGTCTGTCTCAGGCTCACCAAGCCATCCGCAGGGCTATTGTGATTTCAAGGCTGGGTTCTTGGCCCAACTCAGAATCCCAGGGACTGCTAGAACAGTGGTGGCTGTGGCGGGCCACTCCAAATTTTCTTCAAGACCCCGAACAGTTAGTAAAGGCCCTTTGCATGAGGCGCGGGGGCCCTCTTTGTGGGAGAAAGCAGATTTCTAAATCGTCCCCTCTCCCTCCACACAGACACCCGTCTCCACCCTGCCTTTAAGGACACCGACACTTGGCCACTTTTCCAGCCGCGGTGTGGATTGGGAAACGCCCCGAAATGATAAGCAGCTTGCTGGGGCGTAATTTGCGAGGCCAGTTCCTCCAGCGTCCCGCGCACTGGCGCAGGGCCGGACCAGGTGCACCCAGAGGGGCCCTGTGCCGGAGGACAGGGGTTGCGGGCTGCCAGACAGCGAGGTCGGAGGGTAGCCGGGGTCTCCAGGGCCCGCGCGAGGGGTGGGGAGCTCCTAGGTGCATTCCAGCGCAGAGGGGGAGGAGGGGCCGGAGGAGAGGTGCGGTCCCTTTAAGACCCCAACGCTGGCTTAGCCAGAGGAGGGGGGGTGCAGTGGGGGCGCTGCGTGATGGGAAAGTCGCCGGCTGAGCCTCACACTTTCTCCCGATTTCTTAACTTTCGGGCCCGCGGCGCAGGAGTAAGGGCGCTGTGCCGGGGCGGAGACCCGGCTGCGGGCTTGCGGCGGCTGCGCGCCCGCGGACTTCCCGCCTGCGCCGGGCGGCGGGCCTCTCGGGCCAAGTGGGGAGCGGGCGGCGGGCGGGCAGGTGGCCCCGGGCCGCCGCGCCCGCGCCTTGGCTCTGCCCCCGGGAGCCGAGCGAGCCGCTGCTCCCTCGTGGTGTGAGGGCGGTGATGTTTTTCCTCCCACCCACTTTGGAGTCCCCCCTCCCCCTTCGCGCGCACTCTAGCTCTCGCCACAACCTGCGAGCCCCAGACCTCGGAGGAGCGCCCCGGGGAGCTCGGAGCGCGTGCACGCGTGGAAGACGGAGCAGGCCAGTGGCCAGGTCAGTGAGCAGTGCCCGATGCCCGCTCCCTCTGCCTTCCTTTCCAGCCTTTGCACAGGTGGGGTGTCTTCTGTTGGTCCGAGCCGCCCCTGCACGGTCCCCCGGGGCGCCCCGAACTCCCCTGACCTGCCACCCCAACTTGCTCTCGGGTCCAGCCGCCAGCGGCCCGGGCTGGAGGTGGGCTCCCAGGCGCAGGACCCCGGGCAGGTTAGGGACCTTGGATTCGAACTCACCACTTGCCACTCCCCGCTTGGCCTGCTTATCTCCAGGCTCTGGCGCCTGGGGAAGGCCACTTGGCCAGCCACCTAACGGCTTCTGCAGTCCCCTTCGTTACTGCCTGTGTCCCCAGAGCCTTTTTTTCTCGCCTGCTGAAGTGCCCTGGACCAGCGGGAGATTAATATGGGCTAAAGTTAATGAAACAGGGTGGACGGGGGCGAGAGGCTCCTCTAGCCCCTGGACATCTGTCTCATTTTCCGGCCCAGACCACTGGGGTCAGAGCCTGAGACGCTAGGCTCAGGAAGCAACGGAGCACTGCCAGAGCTTAGGGCCTGGAAAGCCTGCCTTCCAGACCCTCCCCGCCGGCCCTGCCACTAACTCTATGAGAATGGGCTGGGTTGAGTTCTCCGGGCTGCAGGGGGCCCATTTTGAAGGTGGAGTTGTTGTGGGGAATAGAATGAAATGATGGCTAGCAAGGTGTTTTGCAAGCCAAATGCAAGGCATTGTTTCTCAGTCATAAGCAGCAGTGAAGGCATTGCCTCGGCCAAGAGACACCCTGGGCTAGAACTGCCTCCCACCTGTGAACTGAGCTTTTCTTGTTGGGTGGTGGAGTGGGGAGAGGATCTCAGCGGATGGACGCGGTCACTGAGACTCCAGTGTCTTCTTGTTGTTTGTCCCAAAGAGAAGCACTACCCTCCCCCCGGGGGGGTGCTGTCCCACAGAAGACAGTGAATGTGAGTTTACAAGGTCAGTCAAGCCTCTCCGGAGGATTAAAGAGACACTGTGGGCCGTGAAGAACTGGCTGACGTGCTCATCCCTTAGCCTGCCTTTGGGAAAGTCTCTCTGGTTCTCTTCTACCCAGGAGACCTCTTCTGAGAAGGTCTGGACTTCTGACACTTGATGGCCCAGATTGCCTTGTGGTTCCGGCCGGGCAAGGAGCCTTCGGTCCCTTTGCTTGATGCAAATGAACTGTGAATGCTTGTTTCATGGAGGCACCTGAATGGATACACTTCTGTAGGTTCTGACATGTTTCTTGTTCTCTTGTTTTTTTTTTTTTTTTTTTTTTTAAGATTTTATTTATTTTTTTGACAGAGAGAGAGAGAGAGACACAGCGAGAGAGGGAACACAAGCAGGGGGAGCGGGAGAGGGAGAAACAGGCTTCCCGCGGAGCAGGGAGCCCGATGCCTGCGGGGCTCGATCCCAGGACCCTGGGATCATGACCTGAGCCGAAGGCAGACGCTTAATGACTGAGCCACCCAGGCGACCCTTCTTGTTCTCTTGTAAACCGCCCCCCTCCCCAGGGTTAGTTGCAGGATTTTGTGTTCTTACTTGCTTTCTTGGGGGGGGGGGGAGCCTGGCTCCCCCCCAAACAGATCTGTGGCTACATTTCTAAGTAACCTGTAGGAGAGTCAGTGCAAGTTCAATGGCACAACAGCCCGAGTGAAGCAGAGAGTTAATGCAGAAATAACTCCAGTTAACTGGGTCAAAGTATAATTTGAAAAATTAAGGACAGTTTGGCTCTTTGCAAGTATAAGAGTCGGCATGTTTGCTGAGCAATGCTCGCTTAGGTTCATTGGTGCAGTCCCAACAAATGTCTTGAAACCCCTCCCTCCCCCACAAGAAAAAGTTAAAGGGATCAGGCGACAGTGAACCGGGAAGAGTCCTGGGGAGGGAATTCTTCTCAGTTTATATTTCTGCACCGAATACAAAGACAGGACTTCAGATCTTGTAAATCAAAAGTGAATATTTATAAAGCGATTCATTTTCTGATGTTCTCCATCACAGCCTGGGAGGCCACACAGATGACAGGAACGCCAAAAGAGATTAATTGCTCTCTCGTCACCAACTTTTCTATTTGCTCATAGCATTAGTTGGGACCCAAGAAAAGCAAAAAAAAATTCTGAGAGCCGTTTTCTTGCCAGCTTGAGTTATGAAGCAATGCTACTGTTCACCGAATCGCCCAACCATTGTACAAGAAAAACAACCCTGTTGGTTCTTGCATGGGGAGACCCGAAAACTGTGGTTTCAGAAAGACCCCCTGAGATCCATATGTGATTGTGATAAATTGGATTTCAGTGGTTAGAAAATCTTTCTCATTCGAAGGCTTGGGGGATAAGCTTGTTAAAGTAGACTCAGAAAGAACCTCGCTGGGGTGGGCAGCTGTGTTAAACCATTCATGGAAATGATTTGCTTCAAGGGGGACCTGGTAGCTCTCAGAGGACAGAGACGTGCTGAGTGACTGAAGCTGGACCACAAGCTCACAGAGGGGACCAAACAGTGGCTTTCAATTTCTCCGGATAAGTTCACAGCATTTCAAGTAGGAGCTGTGGCATCCCCATCGCTGCCCAAAGATAGTTCAGTTCTCCGAAATGATCATCTTGCTTTTCTGCCAGCTCTTTATACTCAGTATTTAGGTTGGCCCCTCAGAAAAGATCAATGCGCTTAATTCCCATTGGGGTTAACCCCGGATTGAAATGTGGTGTTTCTTGGACATCTACATACTTTCAGATCATCCATTGGAAGGGTTTTATGGACTCTAAAATCTATGGAAATGACCCGTGGCTGGACCTGAGCAAGCTTTCTGTGTTTTAAGGCTCAAAAGGTTTAAGATTTCTACCCCTCAGACTAGAAATGCAAGTCTCATACTTTTAAGAATTATAGTCGCTTTGATGGTCTTCTGCATGGTGGTGCAGTGTGAACACATTATCTATTTAAATTGGCCTAATGTCCCTTAAAAATGGCCCACTAGAAGTTTCCATTTTGCAGTGGACTTCACATGAGAGCAATATGTCTGAACCATTAAGGTGTTTACTTGTATCCATTTGCTAATTATATCCATCTTTTCCAACATAAGTAACCCAACTGCACATCTTTATAGATCTCATAGAAGACACAGGAGAAACATTGACCAATTTACGCCTCATCCCTGAAGGATTAATAAATAGCAGTAGTCTTGAAGCTAAGATGAGTTAACTTGCATTTCAGAAATTGTTTGGGTCCCATGCCTATTATTTTTATCTTGGTTGCCAGAGGAGCCGTTTTGCAAACCCATTTCCCTTTTCTCCCAAAGAAAATCTCTTGGGAAATCAACTCTAATTCTGTTAGAAAGGATGATTTCAAAATTTATTTTTATTTTCCTATGACTTGCCTGTAAGGATTTTAGCCTTAGCATTGGATAGGAATGCATGTTCATCTGCTTGAATTTCCCCCCTTAATCTTTGCAAGACAGGAGAGGCAAGTGCTCTTTCTTACACAGGAAAACAGTGCTTACGCTTACGTAAATCCTCTAGTATTTTCCCCCCCGACAAGTTAAAAGCGTAAGCATCGGTGATCTCCCATCAGTTTCAGACGACCTAAGTCTTTTTTCCTGCTTTCTTCCCAGCAGCTTGAATACACTGGGCCCTGAAAGGTTTGAGCGGCCTTTTGCAGTGGTGAAGATGAGAAAAAAGTGGAAAATGGGAGGCATGAAATGTATCTTCTCCTTGTTGCTGTTCTTTCTTTTCCTAGAAGGAAGCAAAACAGAACAAGTAAAACGTAAGTGTCTTGAGTTTAACAAACAAGATACTTTATTGTAATTTCTTTGAAAATGTGGTTATAATCTGTAGGGATTGTGATTTAGCCCAAATGTGGCCATACCATTATTCTAAGAGAAGAAAGTGAATGTTACTGGTTTATGCATGAGTTGATAAAAGAATGAGTGCTCTGAATCGGGCCAACTAAATTTGGGGCTGTTTTTCTGATTATCATATAGTTTTCATCTCCTAGAACACATGACACATTAGCCTATTTTCCTTTTCCTGTTCTAAGCTGTACAAATCTCATTCCATTTTACGTAACTCTAGAAATATCTGACAGATGAGCTGGATTTTTTCCCAAATTTCAGACTCTTCAGCAAAGGTTTTCAGTTTATGTAAAAGAATAACACAGAAAAGAAAAAAAGAAAACGAAAACGAAAAAGTAAGGCAGGCTCTGCCTATTCCCTTATGCCGCAAAACGAAGAAAGAAAAAACCTTCACATGAACTGGATTCAGATGAAAAATCCTTTGAGGAAATTGAGATTCCAGGGACCATGAGCAAATCGGATGCCGTTTATTGAAAGAACGTCCCCGCAAAGCCAGGGAATATTTCTAGAAAGTCAGCGATCCGTGTGATGGGCTAACACATTGGAGAAAGCCGAGTGGCAGGAAGGGGGTATAATTAACCCTCCTGGCTGCCACGTTTGGGAGATTTATGCGTAACCGTTGACATTGCTGCTCTTGTTAGGGGCTTTCTGCTGAGAGTCCGAGCCTCACCTTCTTGGGGCCACTTGCAGCCTTCTCTGGGGTGGACGCTTGCTCTAAATTGGAAGGAAAAACCACTGCTTTGGTTCCCCTCTTTGGCTGCATCGAAAGAAGCACAAAATGGAGCTGGGCCAAGAGGGGCATTCTCTGCTCCACTGAACTTATTCATGAGAAGGAACTGTGAAAATCTTCCTGGTAGGGGCTGCAGCAGCATGTGAAGCCCATCCCTGAAACATTTATCTCCTTTATCAGTGCAAGTTGACTAGAGCCGGCATGAGGCTTGCTGACAGGGAGAACGGTGCCAAATCCATTCCACCATGACGTGTATTTCTGTCCCACTACGCTTTTCATAGTCTTCCCTGTCTTCTTCCCGGCAGAAGGGGTGCTTTTGATTAGGCTTCTGAGCGTGAGTGACCTGTGGTGTTATCTAGTGTGATGGGGACATGAGAGGAAGTTTGGCAGGGCCCAGGGATCAGCTAGGAAACTCTGCATCAGTTTCTGTCCTGTCGGAAAGCTCTCCTTAAAGTGGCTGTGATAGAAAAGTTGTCCATTCATCTTCAGCTCCTCTTACAACCCAGCTGGGCCTAAGATCCTTGCTCTCTTATGACCTGTTACTGATGGCGTCATAGGGGAAGCTTGCAACTCTTGGAAGACCATCTCTTCTGGGAAGTCTTCCATACGTACGAAGACTTGAGGAATACTGTCCATGTAACCTTGAGCTTACTTGACAAACCAAAGAAAAATCGGACCTCAAAAATATTTACAGGCCCCACACTATCACTTTCTAATGGGTTCTGCTGCCTATGAATTTGTCCCAAGCCCTTTTGATACTCGGTTGGTGTCAAAATGATTACATAGTAGATGGCTTAGGGCCCCAGTTCTCTTCTCGTGTTTCAGCTTTACAGTCAGATGATGAGGCTAAGGGCATGGTCATCCCCTGAATGAGCCGCTCAGGATCATCCTGTGTGGCCACGCCCAAGCTAACTGTCTCGAGGACATGTGCTAAGTTATCTCCACTAAAGGGGAAATCTCAGAGCATATGCCCTCCGTACATTGCCTTGACACACACACACACACACACACACACACACAATGCATGCACGGAGATTTGTACTATAGCTCTAACAGTGAGAAGTCAGAAGCAGTGGAAATGTCAGTCCACTGGGGAATGGTTACATAAATGATCTGTGTAATGCACTATCATGCTACCATTAAAAACATTGCATATTACAAATCTGAGAGCCCTGCGAAATGCTTACCTCCTTTTCAAACTTCTTAAATTTTAAAATTAATAATAGTCATCATACAAAACAATCTGAAAGTATCTGGGCTTTATAAGAATGTGTGTCCCTCAGCTACCAACCCCCTTCCCAGGGGAAGCCATTACTAACAGTTTGCTATGTGTTCTTCCAAACCCTTCCCTCTGTGTCATAAAAACACAGGTACGTGTTTGTAAGGTTTTTTTCTTTTACGAAGATGGGGTATAATATGTATTTTTCTGTAACTTTTATTCAGATATGTGTCTGGGACATCCTTCCATGTCAGAGCCTTGCCATATAGCGGTACCGTATTCTTTCTCATGTCTGTGTAGATTCCCGGTCATACAAGCGTGCCATGGTTTAGTTAACCAGTCGCTAGTTGTATATATTGAGGTTGCTTCCAGTTTTTGCTCTTACAACTAAGGCATTGATGAACGCCTTCGGACACTTAGGCAAGTATTTGTGAGGAATCGTTTGGTCAGTGTGGATGTTCACTTTTCACCTTGGTAAGCACTGTCAAATTATCCTTCAAAATGAGTTGTGTTCATTTCTACTTCCACCGTCTATGTATGAGTGTCCTTCTCTAACTCCTTCACCAAAAATATAATTAATCTTTGTATCTTGGGGCCCATTTAATAGTGGAAATCATATTTCAGTTTTGCTGTGATATTTTCCTATTACTGGCATATCTTTGTCATTCGTTTTCAAGCCAATTGTATTTCTTCAGTGACTGGCCCATTTTGCAGTTAGGTTGCTTGTCTTGGTGGTCGGTAAAAACTTACTTATTAACATTTTGTTATTTCGAACCTTGTTAGTAACCTTTTGTGTTTAAAATATTATTTTCCCCATCTGCCAGTTCCTTTAAACTTTAAGTTGGATTTGCCCATAGAGAGGTTTTAAATGTTGGTGTCATCAGATCTGTTATTTATTTCCTTTATGCCTTCTGAATTTCTTCTTCTTCCTAAGGAGGTCCTTACCACTCGCTCTATTATGTTTTCTTCTGCTTCCATCATGTCGGGTTTTACCCATAGTTCTCTGTTCCATCCGAAATTTATAGTCGTGTGTGGTGTGCAGTGGGGAGCTATTTTTTTTTTTAATCTGTGGGTGGTAGGCTCATGACTTCTTTTTGCTCATCTCTGTGCCTCTGTTTATTCTGGAGTTTCCACAATTGGCAAGTATGACTTTTAAAACAGGGATAAAAATCTGGGAAAACTCCGGGTAACGTGTTAAGTGTAAAGGTAATAAACCCTCCCATCTCTCCTTGCTGCCTGATGCCATTTTACACAAGGAAGCCAAGGGTTTTGACCCTTCATGGGTTGGTTTCAGTATAAGCTCCTATGTCAATGCAGACTCTCTGTAGCCTGTTTGCTCTCCTGTCTTGGGTGTCAGGGTGGAAGGAGGGGGCATGCCATTTGGTCAAAGATGCTCACTCAATTGGTGTAGAATCGGAAGAGTTCTGGAGAAAAGGCCGTATTTGCAAAAAGCTGTTTTCACAAGGAAAGGGAGGGCTGGATGCTGCCACTCGCTAGTAGCTAATTAGCCATAGTTACATTGCTCTCCCAGGGGACAAGACGGGTTCTGGAACCCAGGGAATCCTGATGGCTCATTGCAATGGATGATGGAGCCTTGTGTGGCTTATAGAAAAGTCTGTTACTGTCCAGAATCAGCAAGGTTTGAAGTCCATAGTTGGGGGGGGGGGGGCGGGGAGGAGTCTTTCTGTAACTCCATTATGCTCTGTTGTTAAAGTTGTAGTCAAAGAGGCCGGGAAGCTCTTTTGAAGTTCAAAGGAGCGTAACATTCAGCGCATGATAATTCATGCAAATATGGGACAGGCGAACTGAAGAGTTTGCCTCTTTTGGCAGTTCTAACGTGGGTAATGAACGATCCATGAAAGTGAGGTGGAAGGAGTGAGATGTGGGGAATATTCAGTTATGTATTTCCAAAGGACCAGCCTGGGCCAGGTCTGGCAGAAGTTCTGGGGAGAGGGATTGTCCATGTATTTCATGGAGTCCGTGCCTCCTGTACAAGGTGAGTTAGCTGGATCTTCTAAGGGACTAGAATCTCACTCATTTTTTCTCTTCAGGAGAAAAGCTTCCAACGTTCATATCTGGCTGAAAATGAGCCTGTTATGGAGGCTACCCTGAGCTTCTCTATTGTGAAAACCAACCAGAGAGGCTTGAGTTTTCCTCTTCTAGATTCTCACTTGGACATTTGATGTGATTGCTGGACGGTAGAAAGAAGCAAGCAAAAGAGTAGATCTCTTCTCTTAGAGGCTCTTATAGGTGGAAGTTGACAAAAGGGAGAACACCTTAACTTTGGATACCTTAATGCTTTGCAAAGTACATTTTTCTTTATTTTAAGATTTTATTTCTCTGAGAGAGAGAGCACCTATGAGTGGGGAGAGGGGCAGAGGCAGAGGGAGAAACAGACTTCCCGCTGAGCAGGGAGCCCAATGCAGGACTCGATCCCAGGACCCTGAGATCATGACCTGAGCTGAAGGCAGACACTTAACCCACTGAGCCACTCAGGCACCTCCCCAAAGTACATTCTTATTTTTTATGTGGGGGGTGCCAGTGGGGTTGGGTGTGGAGGCTCTGGAGTCAGCTTAGATCCAAACCCCAGATCTTCAAATTCAGTGTTCTGTTCACGACCCCAGTTTGCTTCTAGCAATTCTCTGGGGAAAGCCAGTTCATACTCTTGAATAGAAGCCCATTCCTTTGCTCATGGCAGCCACTTACCACATGAGGGGTGATCCAAGTGAATGAATAAAGAACTTTGTAACCAGAATTCCTAAGAGAGGCGGTATACTATTGGGGAGTTAAAAGGGATTAACACGAACATTATTCAGGAACCTGAAGAAGCTAAGCCAAAGGAAATTTGTGAGGAAGGTTAAAAATACGTGCCTCTATGTTCATGCTTCTTAGATTTCCCTGACTTCTCAGTAGGATTGGAATGTCCTCAGAGTCTAATGGAAAGAGGACTGTGCTTTAAGTCA